TGCCAACAAAACTAGCCAATTTTGAAATCATGGGAATGGGCGGAAGAGTTGTCCAAAACTCAAATAAAATCTGCCCCATTACCCTAATTTCCCCCCAAGCGGATAAGCACATACAGCAGAAGCTATAGTCTTACCGCAACTTACAAATATGCTTCCAAGCTATCACATTAATAGCAAGCCTTGGCAAAAGGTTTCACACTTAAAGTTAGCAGATCCCAACTGCAACACTCCCGCTCAAATAGACCTTCTATTAGGCAGCGATCTCATACCACAGATAATACTCGAAGGTATTGAGAAAATTTCAAATACACTTCTGGCACAAAATACTATTTTCGGTTGGATCCTAAGTGGACTAGTTCCGGAACCAGTTACAACCATGACTACTCAGGTTGAGGAAATCTCAAACGAATACCTCAATTCACAATTAAAGAAATTTTGGGAGTTAGAAGAGCTCCCCCCTATATCAATTACAACCCCAGAAGATCAGTATTGTGAAGACTTTTACAAAGCCACAACTACTAGATCAGATAATGGTCGGTACGTCGTACGACTACCACTAAAACAACAATTTCCCAACACAATCGCCTTAGGTCACTCTCGCACCTCTGCAATACAGCAGTTTCAAAGTATGGAAAAAAACTTCTTAAAAAAGGCGAACTCAAACCAGTATATGATTGGTGTGTTGGAAGAATATCTTCATTTAGACCAAATGGAGGAAGTAAGTCCATGCGAAAAAATCATCAACGGCAAATACCACTCATTTTACTTGCCGCATCATGCAGTGGTAATGCCAGACAAAAAAACAACTAACTAACGATCAACCACAACTACTCCCACGCCAACTGTACGCTTGGCTACCAACGTGCCACGCATGGGGCCTACCCCAACGCCCCGATCTGCAGCTGCAGCTGCCCCTGCAAGCGTACCTGCAACGACACCGATGTCAGCACCAGTTCCTCGCAGTGGAACGAGACCTTCACCGACGCTATCATCGCCGCCTTCAGAGGCACCTCGTATACGATGTCCCATTTGTCGGCGCCCACATCGCCTGCAACATTGTGGGATTTTCAGAAGTATGCGGCCATTGCAACGACAGTAAGTTGCCCAGGCACACGGGCACTGTCTAAACTGCCTATCGCACACGCATGGGACTCAAGAGTGTGTGTCCACGGGTCTGTGCCTAATTTGCAGCAGACCACATCACACACTACTTCATCGCATCTCGAGGAGCGACGTTGGTCGGCCACCTACTATGCGAAGCCGCGCTACAGGACCTCGACCCTCAACTCGTGCGGTACACCCGCGGAATGTAACACCACGGTGTCGACAGCCTAGACCGCAACCACGTCGTTCCAATGGTCTGAGCAGCGTTGTGGAAACGTTACAACAGCTGCAGCGACTACTAAGCTAATAATTTGCCTAGGGGGGCCGGGATGGCTAAATGACCACTCAATCCCCCCGCACCGTAAGATACTGTCACACTACACCAATTCACATCCACATCACCACACCTACTTACCATACATTCCACACCTACATACCATACATTCCACATCACTACACCATTCACCAACACGCACACAAATACAACTTAACACCGATCACACCACCATGAAGACATCAACAGATATATAAGGGACTAAAAGAAGGATCCCGCTCCCCTTTTTTCATCGACTCGCTAGCGATCAGTTCTTTGAGCACCCGCCTAAATCGACTCTCCTTCTTTTTTAATTATTATTTGCTAACGGTGAGTGAAGGTAAAATTAATTTATTAATTACTTAATTAGATATGTTTGTTGATGTTGTTTTGTATCTATGTATATATTACAAACTCTTTTCGCTCTTATCCTGATCAATTTTACTAAAAGTTTTTAAAACTAACTAAAAACGAACTTTTTGTACATTGCGTGAATTGAAATAAGGCGTAATGGAGCGTTTAAAAGAGTAATGAAAAAATTTTGGTTTGTTGCGATTTTCATTGATATAATATTGTTACCATTATACGCTGCCGACGGCGAGAGTTTTCTTGAAAATATTTTATTTTTCCGCAAATTGAAGTGTTTTTAATATTAATACAAAACAAAAAAGGTGTGTAAAATCGAGTGTAACGGAACCTTTTATACTCTAGCAACTTGCAAGAATCAAAGTACGGGAAACTTCTGTGTTTGCAAAACTTTATTTTAAGAAATGTTGCGAAACAGTTCAATTCGATGAAATTGAAAATGAACTACAATCAAATATAGTATTTTATTAAATTATATTATATTATAGAACTCACTTAGTTTTGTTACATATATTTTACTTCATCTCATCATCATCTTCAAATAAGATATATGGCTGAAGAAGCTAAATTTAATATAATACAAGGATATTGAGTTGATGTGAAAAACGTCAATCAGAGGCTCGAAAATCATAATTTTAGGGATATAAGGTTTGGACTAATCTCTAGACCAATTTTATTCATATTTAAATACAATTTTTAAAAAAACTCGTTCATTTAATTTTATTATGGGATGGGTTAATTGAGTCAGTTTTGGGTTTTTTAGTATATCCAATATTATACGTTGAACTATAATATATCCAATATTAATCTGTTAATTTTACTAAGATATCTTACATATAGAGTCAGTAAAGATTAATCTGTTAATTTTACTAAGATATCTTACATATTGATTGATATATATGGCATAAGGCCAACCGGAAGTGTTTGAAAATCTTATGTTAGGTATATAAGATATAGAGGCTGTAGTAGAATAGAATAGTAGAAAAATTAAAGCGAAGTTAAGGAGTCTTATTCGTGCAAAATATATGTACATATAGTACATACGAGTATGTGCACAGAGCAATAATGGATGGCTTTTTAGTTTGTTCGAACTACATTTGCTTAAAATTATCATGTTTTTCGTCGTGTTACCATTTTGCCTTAGAGCAAATATTTTGTACAGCTATTCTGACATTAATACGCTTATAGTACATATGTATGGTATATACGCGGCGTGTTCTGAAAATAATGGGAAATTATTTGTGATCGTTTGCTGTAAAACCATTATAACTGAAGCATAATGTGGTGCTCTCTTTACATATGATGACAAAATTTATCACTAGGTCCAAGCGATCTATATGGGTTTGGTCAACTTTTACTATATAATTGTAGGCTATAATAGCTGTCTTCGACTTTTCAGTTTTCTTTTTGTTCTGTTTATGAACCTGGATAATAATTTACATGTGTGATGTCAGGAACAGAGTTATTAAATAAATTTCAATAATTTCGAGTAAGAGGTAAAATCATTTATCTTCATTGCATGTAGATTTGATTACGCCATTTTATTGTATTCATACATACTCTAAGGACCTAATCAGACATCAGTTTAGGAGCATCCTTAATGTATTACCATTCATAACTATATATGACCATGTAAGTAGCCATATTACACGCGAAACAATATTTGATCTTACAGTAACAACTTGCATATCTAACCGAAGAGCAATAGATTAAAATATTCCGTATTTTCCGCTGAGTAATTGTGATGACTCAGTTAGCTTTCTTAACTCTGAATATGGTTGAACTTTACATTTTAAGTAATCAATATTTCCACAGACCTTTTGACTATGGGTTTTTTAAAATTCTCCTTGAATAAAACCATTGGATTGTAAATTATAATGTTTTATATATTTCGATTTTCCTTAAGTTATTCAATTTCCAATTACTTAAAAATAGTAATACTTTACTTTTATAACTTAATCTGTTGGATTCTACTTTATGAATGTACACATGTCATCAATTTTATTTATTATTAAATCTTTTGCCAACAATATTTAGAATTTATCAAAATTTCTGCTAGTCATTAGTGTACGCGTATAACATTTTGCCTATGTAATTCAGCAATATTATACAATCACATTCAGTTACAATAGCATTGGGTTGCCTTTAGCTGTAGCTAACGGTTTATTGCAACAAATAAGTGCAGATTATGGAAAAGCTTTGAACCTAGTAAGCCTTTATTATAAAATTAACATTAATATCAAATATAATCAATACGATATTGTAATAATAACAAAGTTTTATATAATATAAATAAAATATTTCCATAACACTATTAAGATTTTCCTAAACGTGTTTATAAGTCAAAGAGATCGCGCCTAAATTTTTTTTAAGCAGTACCCATTTTTTTGGAAATAATAAAAACATCACCTACAAAGATATTCATGATATTTGAAATAAAAAAAATATTAAATAAAATTTTTGTAAAAATAATTGCTCGAAATCGAAATAACCATTATGTTCCCACGGCGTATACGTAACATGCACTTACTGCCAACAACTGCTGGCATGACCACAATTGCCGCGAACGGGTAAACGCAGACAAGAATGTGTATATATATTTTTTCCAATTGACAATTATAACATTTATATTCTAATCAAAAACTGCTCCAATTAAAATTTATGAGAAGGACTAGTCTTTGTACACGGCGTATACGCAACATTTCACATTCAATCCTACCGAATTCACCTCATAACATTTTTGCCAATCGCTCTCGATAAACCTACAATTTTGTATTTACTTATTTACAGTTACATGTTGCTAAGAATTTATTATTACACAATAACACATTGTTGCATTGCTAAGGGTTGCCAAGCGCGAGAGTAATGACAACAAGTTTACTATTTACAATTTTATTAAAGAAATTTCTTAAAATATTAACAAGCGTACTGTATTCCGCAACTTTTATCTTTTCGTCGTTTATATACAAAACATCGACAACATTTCTTGAGAATTTTTTCAATATTTTCCCCACTTACCACATATACGCTTACAATGAAACCAGTTCAGTGTTTAGCTTGAGCACATTAGTATGAATATACACACATACATACATATGTACTTATAAATTCGATTAAAGTTATGTTAGGTTAAAGCTGCTGGATGAAAAATCCATTCATGTACATATATACATATGTATTCATTATACATATATGGTTATAAGTAAAAATATAACTATATGGTGCTAATACATCTTTATTGCTACTAACTCGAGTATATAGATTATACTATTTTGTATACCATAATATAATATTATATTTAAATGACGGATTTTATATATAGACGAAAGTGCAACAAATATTTATGCATTTAATCTATAACAGCTCACAATACTTCATCTACACATTCACTAATACTCAATAAGCTTATATTACAGAAAAATTGGAAACGTTATTTACAACGCTTAAAAAAGCTTGTATAAAAATATATAAGTAAAAATTTAGTAAAGGAAGAGTATAGGCTGATATCGGGTCAGATATTTGTGCACATTGTAAGAACGTAGAAAGAGTGTTATATATAGGGATTTCGGTTTAAATTTATAACAGACAAGTAGCGATTAAGTGAAATTTTAAGTTATTGGCTCTATAACTGTATTCGTGCGGGTTGCCAAGAGATGGAGTAACTTGATAATAATTATATTGCTCCAATATTTCGTCAAATGGAAATTATAGTGAATATGCCCTAGCTGAGCGAACGTGCCAAAGTGATTTGCATGATTTAAAAGTGGTGATTTTGGCTTTGAGCATGAGGAGCTGAAAACATTAGACAATGAAGAATTTTGCCAAACACATCTCTCAGAAGTTTTAGGCGTCACATAAGCAGCCAATTTAGACATATGAGATATGTCATATGAATTGAAGCCAAGGGACATTGGAAGACGATTTTGCAAGTCAGAAATGCTGCTTGAATGCTACAAAAAAATCGTTTTTCCACCAAATTGTGACTAATGTTGAAAAATGGATCCATTACAACAACCAAAATGCTAACAATCATATGTGAAACCTGGCCAAGCAGCCGAATCAACGGCAAAGCCGAATATCCACGATGCCAAGGTAATGAAGAAAGTTGTTAACGTTTTTCTTACAGAATGTTCAAATTAAATAAAAAAACAAAAACCACACAAAAATAGTTAGAGACACATTAATTTTCTAAAAATTACCTTAATTTAAAATTGATAGTTAGATTGTATAAAATTAAAATTATATTACACAGTTATGTATAATTTTATTTAGCTGATAGAACACTCTTATAATTTTAATAAATTGATATAGTAAAAATAGGATTTTCTTCGAATTTCTTAAAAAATACGAGTTAATTTTGGATTCGTAGTCAGTCAACCCTTAAGTAATCACGATAACTTTTCGATGTCAAAAATATGTATTATGTGATGAATTTTCACATGTCTTCGAAATGTTTTTTGTTGTAATCTTAATATTTAAATTTTATTGAACATAATTGCGGAAAGCGAAAATTAGTTCTTAAAGCTAACTGTTAAGCATAGCTTAAACAAAATATTTTAAAGCTCAAATAAATTAAAATTATTTTGGTTAGTTTACAATTGCAAACTTTTGGAGTTTATTTTAATAATTGCATCCGACTCTATCAAGCACGCGCAAAAATTTCCAACTTTTGAACGAATATGAATGAATGAAACATACTTTGCGGCTGAGGCGCCTGTAAATAATTTGCCTAAATTCATTGCCAATATCCACGGACAATAGCAATAATCAATTATCTTATTTATAGACAAATTTTTGCACAGTATAACTCATAAATAAATGGAACAACTGTTATTCCTTTTGCCGAATGCGGTATATACAAAATATATATACATACACACATACTTCGACTTAATTTCGAATTCCCGTTCACAGTACTAAAGCATTGGTTCGTGAGAGTCCACTTGTTTTTGGCTTTATCTTGCTGTTTTACAAACACACTGCCACATTTCGCATGCAACTCAAAGCAATCGATCGTTTATTTATTGTTAGCTGCTTTCTTTCATCCTACATCTTTCTTATATACAAGTCTCGTTATCCTTGCTCATCAATGTTGCCTCGGCTTCGTTTTCTGTGAATACTTGGGGTCGTCCATTGATGCCGCCATTGTCCACAACAACTACAACGTTAGTGCCATACTTCAGTTTGCTGTCCAGTGTATCCTAGAATGGTAAAAATAGTGAAAAGTTATTGAAAATCGGAAAGAAAAGACAACAAAAAACTCTTCGAACACTCGTAACTGCAAACAAATTGCTTCAGTTGTCGTTGAAAAATGAAATCCTTCTGGTAGCTATGTAGACGTGATGTGAATAAGTATTATACCAATGGATAATGCAAATAGGCGACAGCTCATTGAACATTTGTGAAAAAACTAACTTATTTTCTTTCACTTTGCGTCACCCTTCACTTTCAACATTCCAGCATTCCAGCAGGCAAAGTTAAGAAGTTGAAAAAGTTTGTTTTACAAATTTTACTCAAGAAACATGACATCGAAAAAAATCCGCTTTCTCAATCCAATCCGCGTTGGAGTAAATCCTTACAAATATAGCGATCCAAATTTAAAAGTAAATAAATTGTTTGATTTCACGCAGAGTGTAATCGGAAAAAGACTATTAATTAATCAAATTACACGCTCTAAGATTCAGTTAGCGAGTTGAGTTGCAGCTAATTTGGAGTTTGTTAGATATTCTTATTTTATTTATTGAAACCCTTGTGTTAGAGCATCCACCACGTTTTCAATTGCTTTTTTGAAGATAACAGCGCTATTTAAAGAGTTGACCACCTACCGACCTGATAGCCGCACAAATGAAAAGCTCAATTATCAGCCGGCTCATAAATAGAGTACCAGAATAGCAAAACGTATGAGATGCTGTAGAGTTTAAAATTCAGCCCATGAATTTTGACAACTGCCATGATGTAAATATCGAAATTATTGGATTGGCACCCACCATCTCTGTGATGATTTTAAATCAGCTTTGAAGAGACCTCCACTATACCGATATATCTGAAATTGGTAAATCTATAAAACTTATGTGGTTTTGTAAAATTATATTACTGGTGGATGCTCTGATGAAAAGCGATTGGTTAAGATATTGCTGCCATTTTAAACTCATCTTTTGACATTTTAAAGGATTATGAAGCCCATTGTGTTACCGGGTGGTAACCAAATTCAGCCTTGTCCAGCCACTCAGTGAATTTGGTAAAGCACTAATTTTTTTCTGCCCTAGCTGCCCAATGTCTCTTAAGTTAGAGCATTGGGAGCCGTGGAATATATCCCGTCTCATCGGCTGGAAGCTGGGCATTCGCATAGATAATGTCTCATCAGAGTCTCATCATTCTGCGTGCATGCTCTGCATTCCGCCATATTTACTTTTCCAATTTAGTGAAGGAGGGATCTGCAGGGTAGGTGACCTAACTTTGTTGTATGCTCTGTATTGCCAGTGTTCCAGGATCTGAGGTATTCCGTTCGTGTTCGTTGCTTCAAACAACCTTTGAAGGAGCTGAATGGTCTGGGGCAGCTTAGGTGAAATGTGTTTCCAGCTGCCCCCGAGCGGGCCAACTCGTCTGCCTCTTCACTTTCCTCTAATCCTTTATGACGGGGTACCCAGATGATGTTAGCCCTAATTGCCGCTATCTTCTAAAATGTTTATGGACTTGCTGGTTGGAGCAGAGTCCCACCTTATATAATGCCCACAATTTCGGCATGAAAGACTTAATTGTAGTTATTTAGTTTGAAACTACCTTCTGTGCATGAATTACTATAAAAAAAGGCCGCTCCTGTTCGTATTTGACACTTTGATCCGCCGGTGAATATTTTGCTGTTAAAACTGGATTATAAGTCGCAATTGTTTCGACTTTTTTGATCTATATAAAATATAAATATTAATATTACTTGCGGCTTTTTGAGAGTATCGTGAGACCATATTGCATATCGTACTTTATTAAAATAGTATTCAGAAAATTCAAAATGGATTTCTGAGGTTTGCGAGAAAACTTCTTCTGCTTTTATTTTCAAAGTATAAGCATTTTTAAACTTCCAATTGGCTTTATGTTGTAGATATCGGTGAATATGTAATTTATAATCCTGGATATACTAAAACTGGGCGGCGGAAATTTTCCTCTGCCCTCGAGTACCTATTATTATACTCTTGCAACATGTTGCTACAGAGTATAGTAGTTTTTTCCCCTATTGGTTGTTTGTATCACCTATAGGTAATCGAGATAGATATGGAGTTATACATACATATATGAATGAGCAGGATGACGAGATGAGTTGAATTCCGAGTGACTGTAAGTGAGGAAGAGTTCGTAAATGGGCGTAGTCCGAACACTGCCAAGCCCACAAAACGCCATTAAATGAAAATCTATAAAGTGCCATAACTAAGTACTAAATTAAGAAAACTTAACACTACTGTAATTTGGCACAAGGAATCGTAGTAGCAAAGGCCATCTGGGGACCAAAAATTAAACAAAAAAATGGGCGTGCCCTCACCCTCTAATATATTTATATATCTCGTAAACCACTCAAGATACAATAATCAAATTTGTTTAGGACAAATCCGTTAACCATCTCTACCGACATGGTAAAAATTAATGAAATCAGATGATCACATCGTCCCCCCCCCCCCCCATATAACGGTTCTGTTAAAAACTACTAAAAGCGTGATAAATCAATAAATTAATACGCCAGAGACAATAAATTTTAGATCCAAGATGGCCGTGTTCAAAGTTTGACGATGGGCATGGAACAGCCCAAACTGAGGTGAAAACTCAAATCTCGGGGCGAATATTGACCAAATTTAATATGTATTATTATCGATCTTAGTAATTTATTTTATGACCAAAAGTGTCAACATCGGACTTCAACTATTTAAGCCCCCAGATACAGAAGATGTGGGCCTCAGTTCCTATAGCGAACATTTTATCGAAAATATCGGTCAGTATGTGAGGTATATTATAGAAACTCAAAGATAATCTTTATCTGATAACAAATTTTCGAACTTCCTGCTGACTTTATACCGCAAATATCGGTATATATGTAATCTTAATGAAATCAAAAGAGCGTGTATTTCTTATAAAAATTCTTTGTGTATAATGTGGATAAAATCGGTTTAAAACTTGCCCTAGCCGCCATAAAACTAATATCAGGATTTTAAAACATACGGTTGACTTTATCCCGCATATATTTTTGATGGTATGTGAAGTACCTTAATGAAACTTAGATACCATCTTTTTCTGTGGAAATGGCAAAAATGGATAAAAGCGGTGCAATAATCCCTATTTCTGATATACCAAATATGTGGTTCTCAAACTTCTGATTGACTTTATACCGCATATGTACAAATATAGGGTCAATATGTAAGATATCTTAACAAAATTAACTGAACGGATAATATTTGACATACTATAGTTTACCCCACATTTAATGATTTACGTTATTCTAACAAATCCAATGCTCAATATGTCGGTCAGAGTATGAGTTATATCATCTATAAAATGGAAGGTATTTCCCCAGATTTGATCCTGACAAGTTTCAAGAGTATAAAATGTTCGGAAACTCGAACTTAGCCCTTCCCTACATGTTTTGATTTTGTAATTGATCCCGGAAATCTACAAGAGTATAAAATAAGCGGTTGAATCCGCACTTAGCCCTTATTTACTTGTATGACATTGTTTTCACTAATCTCTTACATTCTTCTGCCCTGAATAGAAGGAAACGTCGGAGGCCCTATGAAATATATATATAATCTGTCTGTCCGCCCGTCTGTATATACGCGAACTAGTCCCTCGTCTTTATCTCCTCAAGAAGCTCGGAACCGATATCGGATCACTATAGCATATAGCTGCCATAAAAACTGCACGATCGGAATCAGGTTCTTGTAAGGAATCTTTTGTTACTGTGCAGGATATTATATTTTTGTTGCGAAAGTGTTTTCTTATTATACTCTTGCAACGTGTTGCTACAGAATATAATATTTTTGGTTGCTTAACAGTAGTTTATATCACCTAACACTAATCGAGACAGATAAAGTTACACAGGTAGGTACAGTATCAGGATGACGAGATGAGTTTAAGTCTGGTTTGTAGATGGGCGTAATCGGACCACTACCACGCCTACAAAACTCCAATATTCGAAATTTATAAAAAGCTATAACAAACCCGTAAATTAAGATACGAGTACGGAACAAATTTGGTACAACGAATCTAATTGAGGAAGGGCAGTCTAAGTTAATGACCTTCAACATAAGACAAGAATATATCAAATTTGATTGTAATTTATTCACGATTTCATCGAATAATGAATGTTACATTGTTTCGCAACATTTCCTAATATAAAATTCTCCTATCACCTGAAAGTACTTTCCCTGCTTTGATCTTTGTAGTTTCTATTGCAATTTTTGCTTTAAAAATAGTTCTTCGCTCTTAATTGGTTTTGCGATTTCGTCTTTCGCGTACAGATCCAAGAACAACACAATGAGGAAGAACATGGAACACGCACCATGAGGAGAATACAATTAACTAAACATATACAGAAACGACGAAGTGTTGCTATTTTCTGTTGTTGGAAATAATGCGATTAGCCCAACAAGTTTTAAATGATTTTCTGTGTTTTGTATGCCGACAAAAGGCAACCGAAATTAGGCAAAACTTAAATAGCTACTTTTCAAGAAACCACTTATGTTTAAATTTCCAATGCGCCATTATGAATATACCATTGTAAGTGCTATGTAAATTGGATTTCTAAAACCTTTTAGCATATGTCAACAAAGCGATGGATTTGGTTTTGCGCCGCAAATGTGGTAGCGCGAGAACTTTTGTTCTGACTGAACTATCAACTTTATGATCGCGCAATAGCAAAGGTTGAAATGTTATGAATAAAGCTTTATTGAGTTTGTATAGCGAGTGAATTAAGGAGCCCCAGTTGGTAGTAAAACAAATGACGTTGTAGCAGAAGTTTTCCCTGCAACACTGGATCTCGGAAAAGGCCAAATAGCGACCCAAGTTCAAAAATGAAATAAATTAAAACAGTGAAAGACCTCAAGTATTCCTTTCAGTGAAAAGTATGTTCGGAGACGATTTGCAATACTAACATCGGATTATTCTTTTGTGTATTCAAGATCGTTATTGATAGCAGTATTCAATAGCATTGAAAACCTGCTGAACAAAGCCAATATAGATACATATACACATGTATAAGGTCTGGTAAAACAATCAATTATTTTTGCATTGAATTGACGGCTATTATTTTTAGAATTATTCAATTTAGTTGATTATTGATTTGTCCGATAATTTGTTATCGTCCCTATTTGCAAAAAACCGTGACAGCATAAGATTATCTCAACCAAGCTTGTGGAGCTTATGGCGAGTTTCTATCGATGTGTGTTACATGGCGTTGTCCTGTTGGAACAAAATTCCTTTTCTATGGTCTCAAGCTGGCCACTTCTGCTAAATTGTTTACTTCAAGCAGTTGAACCGCTGACAGTAAAGAAACGAAATAAGAATTTGGTTGTAGGAAAGCAGCTCATATAACAAGATTTCCTGCCATCCTATCAAACACAAAGCAAACCGATCGTTTTCGCTTGAGCTTGTTGTAAGTGACCCACTTTTTATTACCAGTAATCGCCCGCTTTAAAAGTTGATAGCTTTTTTTGGGATTCCGCACCGATTCGCAGTTGGAACTCAGTGACAAAATTCTATAAATGGGAGATACACGGGTGTATAAACCAAGGGATCATGTGGTTGGATGAAATACACCTGAGAGAACAAAAATAAATGTATTTTCTAAAATCTTTACTATATTGGTCCCGTCACTTTTTATTATAATAGCTGCAAGGCTCTGTTCATACTTGAAATATGGTGCTTCTTGTGTTAACTGTATCGAATACCTCAAGCGGTAGAATGATGACATTATTTAGCAAGGTATAAGCTAATTCAAATGGAATCCATTTGTAACAAATATGTCAAGAAGAGAGATCTTTGTATTTTTGACAGACTGATCAGGTCGAGTGCTTGGGCTAAGAAAGAGTCCACTAACAGTGAAAAGTATCACATTTGCATGAGTACCAACTTACTTTTCAATTGACTATTTACATCCAAAGAAGTAACAAAATTAAAAAAAATAATATTTACTTGAAGAAGACTATCTGATTCAAACACACAATTATAATATTAGTAACAAACTATAATTCATAATATTTTATCTTCAAAATCACACACTTCAGTTGGCAGTCTGGAACTTGTTCGAAATATGCACCGAAGCACATCGGCTGGAGAAACACACTGTAATGCGAGAATGGCAAGAATACCTACAAGGCCAAGGCAAATAAATTCAAATTACAAATTTGAATTATTTAAAGAAGCAGGGCAACAACAAGACAAGTAAATATGGCACTTTCCAATTTCCTACAACTCTTACAGGAAACAAAGAGGCAATGTAAAAATGAATAATGGAAAATTTTTGCCTCTGAGAAAGTTTGACATGTACGACAACAAAATGGTAATGTCGTCAGCACGTGGCATTCCAGAATAATTGCTGTAAGCCATTCCAGGCAAAAAAAAAAACCTAAGCAATTCGATTAAGAATCATAAGGATTCTTTCACCCGTCTGCTAAGAAAGCCTATCACATTATTGAAAATACCGAAGAGTGGGCTACACATGCATTAGGGTGCACCAAAAAGACAACAAGCCTATGCAATTAATGGGTTTAAATGAACTTACATAAATACTGAAAAAGAAAAAATTCCCTACAAGGCAGGATGCTTAGCACAATTTCAATAACACGTAAAAAATATTTATTATTATTGGATAGGGTAAAATATATGCATATAGGTATATCGGCATGACGAACTGACTTATTTTAACCATGTCTATCAGTCTGTCGGGCGGTATATACGCGAATTAGTCCCTCAGTTTTTGACTATCGATCTGAAATTTGCACACGTCCTTTTCACCCAAAGAAGCTGCTCATTTGTAGGAACCGCCGATAGCGGATCACGGAATTAATTATAGGAACTTTGTTTATTTGACAAGATTTATTTGTCATAAATTATTATCCAAAGCAGTGGTAAATCTACGAAGAAATTGTTTAGATCGGATCACTATAGCATATACATAGCTGCCATACAAACTGACCGATCAAAATCAAGTTCTTGTTTGGAATCATTTGTATATGTGAAGGGTATTATAGCTTCGGTGCAACCAATGTAAACGTTTTTCCTTGTTTTTCATTAAAAAATTTTGTAGAGGATAAAATTTATTTTTTACATGTTATTTAAATGGGAAACGTTGAATGCTTATTGACACCTTTTAAATCATTGCCTTGAGGAGATAATCTTTTCTATGTATATAGGTTAATTTTCACCTAAAAAATCAATTAGTTGGTTTTTTGGCTCACCTTAACCTTCATGTAGTGGATTTTCTTCCCTGTGATGACTGTGAGTTTCACACTATATCACTTGTGTGAAGCGGTGGAATTTTGATGACGAAGTAAAAGTTAATTCCCTCGTGTTCCTGTGTGATTGGTATGCAGTGGCAAACGTATGTGCAGACGTTTAGTGATGACATGACAAGTATATGCAATCACAGTAGTAAATATAATATATGCAACTTTCAGAAATGGTCCCCTAGGTGTCACTTAATCTTCCAAATAAGTCGCAAAGGGTTGAAACTTGGTGAGTGCGGTCATTTAATGGTTATTAAGTGGGATCAGAGCAAGAAAAAACGTTATTTTCGGCTGAACTGAAGCTATGATACTGTTCATAGGTGCCTTTTTTTAAGCAATTATAACTTAAACTGAACAGATTAAGTTTGCTACGAAGTTTGTAACACCCAGAAGGAAACGTCGAAGAATCTACAACATATATATATAAATGATCGGTGTGACGAGGTAAGTCGATTTAGCCATGTCCGTCTGTCTGTATATACGCGAACTTGTCCCACAGTTTATGAGACATTGATGCTGCTCAATTGTTGGAACCGCTAATATCGGACCACTTTCCATACAAACTGATCGATCCAAATCAAGAATTTAATGAAATACATTTTTATTTAACAAGATATCTTGACGAAATTTAGCATAACCAAACCCACGCTATAATCTCCGAAGATATTGTTCAGATCGGACAACACTGTCGGCCAGTTACTTTTTAAGATTTAGTTATACTTGTAGTACATAGTTACATAACTGCTTTAAGATATGTAACTGTGAGCGGTATTACGACTGCATCGAAGCTAAAGTTTATTCTTGATTGCTTTTTAATATTTCTGAACCCTTACCTTTTTTAGTGGCACGGTGTAGTCTACATCCTTGGTCCACAGCACATTTTTGGTTTTGATAGAGTTGCGATCTCTGAAGTTATTGGCATGTCGCATTGAGCGCACTCGTACCTAAAATTTAGAAGAATTGTAGAAAATTAGACTAGTGAAAAAAGAAAAATATTAATTAGAAATAATATTACAAAACCAACTGTAAGAGTTGTTGCCATAATTAGTTTGAACTCCGATTTGGTAGTTCTTTTACTAAAAGCTCAAAAAGAGCAATTTCTTATTTTATAATTGATTGATTTTGTGAGTTTAACATAAGATAATTTTTTTTGTCCAAAATTTCGCTTGAAGCTACCCTAATATGTCGTAATAAGTTGTAAAACAAGAGATAACACATGGGCTGAAAATTACCGGGCCTAACAAAAAAAAAAAAAAAACGGTGTGTTTTGTACGAAATTGGCTTTATTCATCAAGAGCGACACCATCATTCCAGCGCCGCTTACCGACAAGGATGTTTTTGAGTTCTGCGAACAACCAATAATCGCTAGGAGCAAAAAAAAACTCAAATTTGTTACGTTTAAACATGGCCAAACACTGCTCAAAGTCATCAATTTTCGCATGGAAAAATTCTTATGCAATATAAAGCCAACACGTTATTTTGAAATCCTTACGATGTTAGCTATATCACGCCGGTTTCCCTTTGGTTTGAAAAATGCGGGAAGTATTTTTCAAAGGACTATTGACGACATTCAGAGAAAGATATGTCTATGTTGATGACGTAATAATTGTTTCTAAAAATGAAGCTGACCATGTGCAACATGTCAGCACAATTCGAAATGCCTGTGTGACGCCACTATGAGTCTCTCAAGAAAAATCAATTAGGCAACTTCACTTTCCGGTCATTCAGAACGATTTTGTGGATTTTATTATATATTCTGATATTACAGCCTCATTTGGACGCTCACTGTGTTTTGGGCCAGGTGCCTCTACGACCACATTTGAAGTCAGCAAACCAACGTTTATTGCGGTTTCTGATGATGCTGAATCCCCATAACACTTTTTAAGCCATTGCTTCGCTGAACATCTTGTACAACTCTCTTTTCCCGGGAAATTGTGGTCGTAAATTACCAGCCCAACTTTGATAGTTGATTAGATCTGCTAGGGGGGACGTTTAGAAAGTAGAAGGACTGGAACGGCCTTAGTATTATTCCGCAAACCCCAGTGTTTCGATTAAATATTTTGATACTTCAACTATGTACATATGGGCAGGATCTGTCTATAATTTAGTGACTATAGCTGTGGAGTGCTTTAAAGACGGACTTAAACAAATAGTAACGGCAATAGTGAGGAAGATCCAATCATTTATTATATACTATATATATATATATGATATCTTAAATAAAAAAAGTGGCGGAAATCATTATTTTAGAATAGTAGTTATGTGGAGGATAAATTTGAAATGTGATTTTGCTAAGAATCAGTTTGATTAGGTTATATTAGCTTACAGGCTGATCCTCACGAAAACGGTCACAAAGGATTCTACTACAAATGATATTTGTACTACAAATGATATTTGATGCCAATAACTCCAAATTATGTATCGACGATGTCCTTTGAGTCTAACACAAATTTGTTGAAGAGACCAATATCAATTTCAGGCAATTCGCTCGGTTTGCCGAAGGTATCGAGCTAGACAGTGGAGAAAAAAGTGTTTAGATGCTAGGAAAAACGATCAACTGTTGAGTGGATTAACTTACAGAATTTATTAAAACATCTGATATTTTCAAATATATTTTTGGAACTCCATATTTTTTTTTGGGGTTTTGCAAGAACATTGTAGCACATTGTTTTTGAAAGAAAAAACTTCGCATACTTTAATGCAAAACAATAAATATTAATGAAGATATTTATTTTGGTCTGAGGACGATAATTTTATTTTAGAATGTTGCCATATTTTTAAATGTGGAAATTGGTAAACTTATAATTACAAGAGAGGAGACTACTGAAAATAAGTTTCACTTTGAGACATGCTTCAACTATGTACATATTTTACGCTGTTAAAAGCTTAGTTAACTATGAGACAATGTGCAACCTTTTACAATATCAGTGCGTCTACATATTTGTCAAAATTTTGGTTTAATTATGGCTCGATCCGAAAAGACATCTTATTCATCCCACGGCACACTGTCAATATTTACTTTTCCTTGACTGACATTTTATTACATTAATATTAAACAGACCCCGATTCGCGGCACTTTAAAAATCACCAAAAAAACTCTCTCTTTCAGAAGGCGAAGAAAAAAGTCCCCGCAAGTCAAAATTAACTTATTATTCTTTTCAAACGCTCAATATTACGCTACATTTCACTTCGCGCCATGTACAAAAAGTTTGTGTTTAGTTCGAAAAGCATTATGGGCGCGCCGTTTTAAAACTTTTTGGAAACACAAATAAAATTGATAAGGGTAAGAATTGAACGAGCTCATGTTGTACTTAGATACAAACAAAAAACAACAAACATTTCTTCAATCTGTATATGAATTTGGACATTCACATTTTTTACAGTTTTACTAACTTTTTCACTTCATTACAATGGGATATTTGAAGGAGTGTTTCGGTTGTACAACACGTGTATATATTTCAACAAATTTTAGAAAAAATTCAAAAGTAATCAAGCCACAAAAGAAAACTTTACTCATTTTTATTAAATTTAAGCGAACAAAACGAGAAACTTATATTACTCATAAAAAGACATGAGAATATTTTAATTCTATTTAATATATCCTGTGCAAAGTAAACCGGTTGAATAGTTCTTTTATATGGTATATAAATATATTATATGTAGCTGTATATTTGCTGGTGTTATAAATAAAGCTGGTATATGAACTTTAATCAAGGTTCTTGCAAGTTAATTCTGCGTTATTGGCTTAACATAAGATATTAAAGCGATAAAATATAGTTTATGATCATAAGGAGACACTGAGGACGAAATTATAAAAAACTAGTAAAAATTAAGTTATGATACCCTTCACAAATACAAAAGACTCTTTAGAAGAACTTGATTTTGATAGGCCAATTTGTATGGCAGCTATATGCTTTATTAATCCGATCCGAAAAATTTCTACGGATATTGCACCATTACTTTAGACAGTAACCCATGTCAAATTTTTTTTGAAGATATCTCGCCAAATCAAAGAGTTCTCCTTACAAGCACTTGATTCCAATCGTTTAATTTGAATAGCAGCTATTTGCTATAGTGGTCCAATGTCGGCGGTTCCATTAATTGAGCAGCTTCTTGGAAACAAAGGGACGTGTGCAAAATTTCAGACCGTTATCTCAAAGACTGAAATTATCGTATACCATATACAGACAGTAGGACGGACGGGCGGGCAAAGTTCGAAGGCAGATTATCAACGAAATATTCGCCATAAAGTATAACGAAAATCAGTATACGAATATATTATATACTGTGTATGGGAATATACTATGTTCGCACCGACACAAAATTCGTATTTTCATAGACAAAAGAGGTTTTCACGCGAAAACTTGTGTTTTCAGCCATACAAAATCTGTCAAACGAAAACACAGTTTTCGCTGAAAACCCCTTGAAAACTTACATTCCACTCATTATAATCGGTGCCTGCTCTAGTTTAATCGATATTATTAGAAGACATATTTTGCCAGCCCTAAATGTCAGTTGACAATTTACTTACATTCCATAATTGGCCTAAACGTACCCTACAAGAAACTGCTGATGGGTTCACCAATACACTCACGTTTGATATGTCAGTACTGTTAATTTACAATTGGAGAAAGACGTACGCAGAGCTATTGAGAGGAGGAGATGGCATTAAGTGAAAATTTATTTTTATATTTTCATATTTTATTATATTTTTTGATGCATTCCTTTTTATATTTAAGTATATTATTATAACTTATTCTGACTAAAAGTTTGAAATTTATTAAAGAAATAAAAATTATATTATCTACTGCGCAAAAGAATTTTTCACTTCTGATATCGTTTCAGTCATAACTTTCAGCTATGGCGGATTTATGGTCAGCAATTACTCAGAAAAAGACATGAGAGTGAGCAGTATAGATATATAGTGAATCAATTCCGAATACCCATGTGTTAAAGAGAGATGCAAACTCACACACATACGTTAGTTTACATCAGTTTTTGCACAAAGCTCTTAAGAAAATGATAGAAACTTTGTTCTGCGCGCTGACAAAATTTTTTCAGCTATGACTGTCATATTACCCATCAGATGGCCGTCACTGTTCTTGTAGGGAAATAGATATGTGAACTGTCAATGAAAACTCATCAAAAACACACAATGTCGGTCAGAACGACTTTGGTTCCACAATCCACAAATTGTGTTTTCAAGAGGATTTCAATTCGGTGCGAACAAAGTAATAGTTGTAATTTGTGTAATTTTTGGAAATAACCTGTAGTATGGTATAAGATGTAGTATCCAAGAAATTATATAACTTTGCTAACACATCATACATACTGACAATTATACATATGTCATACGTTATAGCTTCAACCGGACGTTAGAAAACCTTTATATTTAATATTTGGGAACGAGACTTGATTCGCTTGATTTTGACAGAAGGGCATATAGTTAAAAAAATATGCACTATAAATTCCAATGCTAGATCTAATAGATTGTCCGATATTCATAGTCCGATTTCGACGTGAGTTGGCATATCTTAAAGACTTGTGCAAGGTTTTACCTTGATAATATCATTAGCTCTCAAATTATATACACTCAGATGGAGTTTAAAATTGTGATATAAGGAAGTAGGCGTAGCTTTTTTCTGATTTAGTTCATTTTCACAATGTAATATAAGAATGTCGAAATAATATAACGCACTAAATTTAGTGGAAATTCGTCTAGTAATTCATGAGATAAACGTGTCTGGTGCCGTGCTCATTCAATTTTGATACCCGCTCCTAGGAAGCCTTTTTTTACCATCTTGGTTGTAAAATTTAATACCTCAGACGTATTTATTTATTGAGTTATCGCACTTTCAGTAGTTTTCAAGATGAAGTGGGCGTAGTTATCAGCTGATTTCACCCATTTGCACAATGTATTACCAGATGTTAGAAACACTTTTTT